ATATCCAGATAATTAGCGAGTTCCACTATGCACCTTCTCCCTCGTCCACTTTTTCCCCCCATAAATTAAATTCAAAATCACTGAAATGCAGAGTTAGAGAACATCAGTTTAAATGCATAAAGGGTCAATTATATATAAAGACAAAGATACTACAACAAATTAATTAACCTGAAGAGACAGTGCTTTGTGCAAAACAACATTCTCATGTCTGGTTGAAAAGGCTTCTGAAGACGAGTGGTTTCTTCATTTCCCTTTGTGAGTGGTACGAGCAAAGCTTGTACAACATGCAAGAAAGGGGAAGAGATGATTTCCCAACAACACAGGGGAAACGCACGACACGATGAGTCCTTGACATTCACAACCAAGACACAAACTTCATCTGGATTTCAATTGAACCGGTCTCAACCCCAAAGTAAATTCGTTTAGATGTCCTTTTCTTCAGCTAGACTGCCACGCCAACACGCCACAGCATTTTTGTCGTTTCAATGAAAAACAGGAGCGAGACTCCACAGCCCACCAACAGGCACCACCAATCTCACCCCAAGTCCTAGGCGAGCTGTTGACATCCTCGCCCTGTTCGGCTCTGCCGGTCAAACGCTGAGCAGCGGGGACGGTGCAGAACCAGGAGCAGCGTCTTCCAAGCAGGCACCAGGACAGCTCATTCCCTGCATCTCCTGTGCCATAATGTTTATATGCAGGATACTGGATGATAGTCATGGTGCAAAATAAAGCAGTCTTGTTCGGAATAGTTACTGGAACATCATCATAGTGCCATGATTACAGTTTACTGGCCCATCGGTCCCACCCCAGTCACTACCAAAAGGCTACCTTACAGCAAATGAATGGTGGAAGATGCGACTGTGACAAACTAGGCTGGTCTTTGCTTTGCTCCCTTCGCAAGAAGAGCAAGGGATCTCTCTTCCACGGTGGGTAAAAAGAATGTTTCAGAGCTGCTCTCCTCCCGTCAGTGATCTGGAGCATTTTGCGGGAGGTATAACCATCTGCCAGCAGTGCGTGGCGGCAAGGAAAGCTTGCAGTTATCACGAGGCTGGTGCAGACACTGATGAGTAATAAAATTTGAAAAGAAACAGGACAGGCTAGTATAGTGTAAAATTATATCCATCATAATTAAAGCATTCGTAAGAAGCTTAATTACAAACAAATACATTCTGTTAATCTCATTAAGACATCTAAACATGTACTCTTTTCAGCTACTCTTGTCTTAGAAGGTATAAACTCATGACGGGGAAGGGGGGAAAAAAAACCAAATGTTTTTTAAAAGTTTATTTCTAGCCCTGAAAGAACAGTTATTAAACAAAGTCAACAAATACAGTAGTTAATATTGCAGTAACAATTAAATAACATAATGGGATTAAATTACACAAAAGGCAACATTAAAATCTGAAGACAGTTAAAAAAATAAAAAGAAAGCTTGCACCTACTTCCATTTCCATTGACAGCGTGAGGAACAGAGGGAAAAACGGACCAGAGACATTTATTTATTCAACTCCAGCTGGAGAGACCCTTAACAACCTTCTTGCTCCCTCCCCGGCCCACCCACCATCCCCTCTGACAAAGGGACCCAGCTTCTCCCATCTGCTCTAGCCACACCTTTTGCACCTCCCTGCACCGGAGAGCGGGGTGGAGGGGGGGGAAGCCTACAATTAGTCTCATTAACACCTAAGGCAGGTCAAAGTGCACATTCCCAACGCCATGGTTGCTTTTAATGAGAAGTCTGGTTTATTCTATGATAACAAGAAAATCCCAGGAGTCACACATTCCCTGCACACTTGCACCTCAGCTATAAGCTGCCTCTCCATATACCCAACTAACCACACCATTGTACGTTACGCTTCATACGTATCACATGCGTATTTGATTAGAATCTGACTCAGGATCTAATGCTGGCACCCAAGAGAGAGCAAATCCCAGCACTTTCAGATGCAATCCTTCCCTTACCATCATCTGCTCAAACTCTGGCTGGTCTCTGTCTGCCCTAGTGATACAGCAGAGTTGAACAGCCCTGCAGCAAGTCTTAAGGACGCTAATCTGCTCCCTTCAGAGGAAAAAATCACGGCTTGCATTTTTTAATCTTGCAGACACATCCAGCTGACATCATTAAAAAAAGCGATGCCTGACCCACTAAGACACAAAAACACAGCACAGCAACCTTCTCCTGGCTCTCCTCTTCTGCCAGCTCCACCTCTGGCCCTGATTTCTGGCAGCGGGGGGTGAGAAATCTCACCACGTAACAGTAAAACCGCTGTGTGGGGAAGGGGAGATGTGGACGCTTCTCGACTTCAGAGCTAAACACCATTCCAGGTCACACAGCAAGTGCCGAGATATGTTTTGGTAACTTCTGGATTGGGCCAAGTTTTGTGTGCCAAGATGGCTGAAAGTTTGGAAATCATCTCCTAAGTAGACTAAATTGGACAAATTTTGTAATACATGTTTTAAACCATTCTCATTCATCAATAAAAGTGAACTAATAAGTTAAAATTACTTATGATTTCATGTTTTTCTATTTAAAAAACCCCTAAATTTATTGCAAGTTATCTTACTATCTAGATTGTGCCATCCAAAAAAAAAAAAAAAAAAAAAAGGAAAAAAAAAAAGAAAGAAATAAAAAAGAAAAGCTCCCCGTTTAACTCTGGCACAAGGAGTTTCACAAAGTCCATTGCCAGCAACGGACAAAGAGGGAATCATCAGTACGACAGGTTTTTTTTCCTCAGCCAAGCCTCCTCGCTACTTCATTTGACCAGGAAGCCAGAGGCACTCAGGCCGGGGGCACCGCCATTACAGCGTTTACAGTGTCCGTGGCTCGTAGTACATTTTGCCTGGGAAACGCATCTAGATTTACTTGCCTGGAATGAGACACTTCCTTGAATTTAAAACCGTAACTATTCTTCGGCTTATAGCTAGAGGGATTTATTCCTGCGGTGGAGCAGTTAACCTAATTTACCCAACATAAATTTTGGCTGCCACTCAAGAGCAGAACACAAGCTGAACTGCAACACTGCAGTGCCCTGCACAACAAGGCATGTTGTTGGTACCACACCAATTCCTAGAAGCTAGCGAGTCGCAGCAGACACTGCGAGATCCTCAGCCCCGCTTCCCCTCCATCAACACAAATAGCCTCCATTGTTCTGGCCGGCCGCTCTCGGCTGGAAGTTGGTTTTGTCATACCTTGGCTACCAGTCCCCAAAACATAGTTAGCTCTACTGCTATACAAATACCGAAATTATCTGAAAATGACTTCTATCTTGTGCCAGCAATGTTTGTAAAAGTGTGCAAAAAATTTTTATTCAGGTTCCTCCATCCATACCCAGCCATAACCCTATCCGTCCCAGGTCCTGCCCCACTGGGAATGCAGTAAAATCCCACTAAAGTAATGGTTACTCTTTCACAGAATCGTTTGGCACATTGTAACGACAGTTGGCTCTTTGTTAAACTGTTGGGGAAGTTGAAATGCATAGACTGTAGTGCTAGAAGAAGCCGGGACACAGGCTCTTCTACACTTGCCCCTGGTAACACCCCAAGAACTCAACTGCTCAAGTTGCTCACTGTCCTTCAGAGGGAGGCACTTTTTCTTGCATTGAACGTTTGACCTCAGCCATTCTAGCTGGTCCAATGTCTTTAGTGAGAAAGGATCAGTGTGACACATCACGTCTCCTCAGCCTCGAACTAGCTGGTCAAATAAGCCCCATGAACGTCTGACGGCACTGTTCTCCCCTCTCAGCCTTCGTCTTCTCAGAACAGCGCTTTGGCATTTCCAGGTGTTCATAATCTTCTGTTTGAATCATATTTAAAAAATCCTGTATCTTCAGTGTCCTCAGATCTGATTATTTGTTCTTCCGATTTCATTAGTACAAATGGAGCACATACAAAATTGGAAAAAATAGCTCTAATACTTAAATTCTGACAACTCCATAGGTTGATGCATTATTTGCTTGGGGAAAAAAATTACAACATATACAAAAATGTATTTGATACAAAGAAGGGAAATGTAAAATAAAAAAGTCAAAGGCACCAGCATAACTTCCAAAGCCCAAGTCAGAGCACAGATACAATACATGTTTTTGAACCACCCACCGCACCAAGCACATTATCCCTTAAGCTTCTGCCAGCAAGTCTAATGGGAAAAAAAGAGCAGACAGGAAGACAGCTGGAATTTTTTTTCTTGCCCTGACTATAGCTGATCATTTGATCATAAATAAAGTATCTGACCCCTACCTACATATCCATAAACCGACATCCAAAGACTTGACCAATCATTAAGTTTCTACAAAGAGGCCACATCTTTGATTAAAAGTCCACAGAGCACAGGCATATGAGAAACAGCTGAATACTTCTCTTCCCCCTCTCTCCATATTCATCTTAAAAAGCAAAACGTCTCAATACGTTACAATTTCTTATGTAGCCAAGTTGTCAATTCTACAGTACAGTAACAGCTAATCCATAAAAGAAACGAGGGGCAAGATGTACCTTCACATTTGTCACACTTGCCGTGAATCTAGTCATATGGGAGCTTACTAGAGTGATTTAAAAGTAAACAGGTAGAGGGGAGGAAGAGGGGAGTGAAAGAGATCAGCAGGTAAAATTAGTACTGCTCTCTGAAAGCTTGAATCTGTCATTCAAGTATTGAAAGTACCCAGAAGGGTACAACAAATGGGAGCTGTTACAGCGAAGTCGTTAAAAACCTTTAAAACCCCGGGCACAGTAAGTGGCATTTCTGGGCTGTCTGCAAAAAACAAAAACAAACAAACAAAAAAAGGCCAGTAATTCAGTCCTCAATTCCTTCCGGACCCCAGACAGGGATCACTAGAGTCACCACAATTTATTTTGGGTGTCTTCTGGATGAGAGTTTCTTCCCTTTTGCAGACGTTTCCCCCCCCAACAAAATCCCTTCCCTCCCCCCAGAAGTGTAACAATTTCATATATTATAAAGATTTGTAAAATACGAACAAACAAAAAAAAGGATGAAGGCTGTGGCAGTAATGTTAGCGGTTACTCTTCATTGCTTCTTTGGCTGCCAAGATCAGTGGCGTCAAGCTAGACAGAGGTTTTGCCAGTTTCAAGAAGGGATGCTGCCGGGAAGAGAGAAACACAGTAAGTTAGTGAAAGACACGGTTTAAAAAGCCAGTAGAAGCCATATATCTACACAGCCCTTTTCATTCCGAGATATGAAAAGCAATGCAATGCTGTCAGTGCCCAGCTCCTGAAGGGACAGATCCAGAGCACCTCAAGCCTGATAATCATTTCTCCTCATCCCAAAAGAGCCTAGGCGTTTCCTTTTCCAATAATTCACTACAAAGAGGTTTCCTGCTCAAACATTTTCTCTCAGTCCCATTCTGTTCACTTCAATGGCTCTATTACAGTAAGTTCGCAAATTGCTGGACGCTTTGGCAGTTGCAAAATGAAGGCACAGATTACTGATGGAAAGACTTCAGAGTACATATTACAATCTTTGATGACTGTAGTTCCTACCAACTGCTCTGCACTAGAGTACTCAGAAGAAACCACAAAAAAGAGGGTGCCAGTCTACAGTGCCGTTTATCACAGGCTGACCTTACTCATGGCTTCTGTACCTCAGACTGTGAGAAGAAGCTGACTCTCACCTGTAGCAATTCTTTGGCTGATCCTCTTTTCTCTACATCCATCTCCAAACATCGGTTCAAGAAATCCCGGAATATTGGGGACAGTTTCTCGGGGTTCTGCAGCTCTGGTGTGCCATTAGTTGCTATCAAATATAAAGCCTGTAAAATGAGGAATATTTTATAACCAAGCCAAATCTTTAAAAGATGCCAAACTGACCGGCCTAGCAGCAATCCCTTAGTCTAGATGAGAAAGGACCCTGCAGCCTACTTCTCTCCCTGATAAGATGAAAAACTGTAGAAATGCCACAATTATAGGCAGTCATGACCTATTCTTGCTAGTAGCAAAATAACATTCAAAATCTTTTGGCAACAGATACTTACCTTGGCAAAGAAAGTATCAGATTCTGACACAAGCAGCATTTTTCATAACCTAATGGATTTACTTCTCCTAAACTAACAGAGAAGACTGAGTTCAAACTCCAATGTTTTAGTTACAAGCAGGGACTCATCTTCTAAACAGAAAAATTCAGGAGGGGGCTGACTGCAAATTCAAGACAGCTGTCTTCCTTTTGGAGGAATTTTCTTGCACTGCTGAAGCTTGTTGGTTTTTTCGTTTCATTTTCTTTTTAATGTAGGTTCTATTAACGAACTGAAAATGTTCGTATGGTAAACACCCGCAAACAGTTCTAGACACATCTGGGCTTCTTACCCTCAGGGGGTTTTCGTTGAGGTACGGGGGTTCTCCTTCCACCATCTCAATAGCCATGATGCCCAGAGACCAGATATCCACTTTAGGGCCGTATGCTTTCCGTGTGACCACTTCAGGAGCCATCCAGTAAGGAGTTCCAACCATAGTGCTGCGCTTGCTCTGCTCTGGGGTGATCTGAGCACAGAAACCAAAGTCGGCTGTAGGATAACAGAATTTTAAAAAGTTAAATTGGTGCACCCCAAGTAAGTGGGCTTCCTAGAAGACTTCTCTATTACTACACATATATTTTACTCCTCTACACTTGAGAGGGGCTTGGGGGGGGTGTCTCCTTCCCCCCCCCCCCACCTTCTCCATATTACAAAATCCAATGTGCAAGATAGATACAAAACCTTAAGGTGTTTAAGCAGGGCAGAATTCCGTGGAATGAAGATAAGGCTTTTTGTCCTCTGGAAAAGGGACACAAGTATTACCGTAGAAGAACAGTATTTTGCCTAGTCCTTCCTTCAAGAATCCTAGACCGGTAAGAGCCAAAAAAAGTAGTCAAGCAGAACACAGAAGGCAAGTGTTCTGTGCATGGTAAGTTATACAGCCTGAAGTAGAAAAAACGAATCCACAAACCACGGTTTCTGCCCTGTTAAACAGATTTTATTTGTGCAGCTATTGAGTTCAACATTTCACAGCAATTTGGCCATCAAATACAGGTACTACAGCTGACAGAGACATGGAAACAAGGCTTCAGAAAAGTGAAGTGCTACTCAGCACTCACTCAGCAGAAGAAACCTGGACAAACAAACCTTTCCACAAGGTAACTACTGAAGAGAACAACCACACTCAAGAAAACGAGAAAAGTCACCTATTCCTATAGCCTTCAGGTGCAGCAGCAATGCATGTTCCATCATGTTACTTTATCCAGCTGCAGCACTCCCACTTCCCAGGCATGTAAAGCATCAATAAGAACACAGTTAAGGCAGGAGACAGATATTACCTTATCATTGACACTAAGTTTGAGAGAGAGAGAGAAAGAGAAAGAGAGAGAGAGAATTTAAAATTTCAAGTCGATTTTGAAAGTGTTATGCCAAGCAAGTGCTAACAAAAGAGCCACAGTCATGAAAGTGCTAAGTTGTACCAAGAGGACAATTTAAAAAAGAACTACCCCCACCCTGATTGTCAAAACGCTTCCTTAAAAAAAAAAAAAAAAAACAAAAAACAAACAAACAAATCAAACCTATAGAAGTCACTGAGTTCCTCGCCAGCACTTCTTGGCCTTTATCAAGGTGTCATACTCAACTCAAAGCACAGCTTATTTCAATGAACACACCAGAGAAGCAGCGGCAGTGTATGCCTCCTGACCTACCAACGAGGCCTTCAGCACCATGCCACCAGCAAGGAGAGAAAAGGCAGGCAAGATGCAGAATCCAGTTTCACCAACCAGTAGTGTGTGTAGGTATGTCGTGGTGACAGGCAGACTGGTATCTCTCACTTCTGTTACCAGTCTCCTAGAAGCCAGACTCCCCCACAGAAGGGGAAGAGCTTGAAAAGAAGGTGCAATTTCTTCCACCCTCCACCCTAAACAACTGGTAGAAGCTCTATAATCACACAGCCAAAGAAGAGCTAGCCTTAACACTGATTACAATACCTCCCCTTCATATAGGACATTTTTACAGCTGATTCCTGTTTTCTCCTGTCTCTCCTTCTTCCTCATCTTCCTCCAATCTCCGGCGGCCGATGCTTCTTTACATAGGCTGCTAACCCTATCCTTTTGCTACTATGCTTTGCTTTGACAGCTCTTGCATTTTTGAGCCTTCTCCAGCTAACTCTTCTCAGCCACATCCTCCACTGTAACTATTCACTTATCTTCAGCCTCTGAATCCACACAGTTTGTGCATAAACACATCACACCCTTAAAAAAAATAAAACCTCCTATGCAAGCAAGCAGTGCATCCAACAATGCTGGTAAGTAAATCAGGTTGCTCGTAATCTTTTTTCACACTACATCTCATAACCAATATGAGGCTGCAAACCATCCAGACTAAGGAATATTGATGAGATACATTTTCAAGGCATTTCAAATTCCTACCCAACTGTAAAAACACCATCCCTTAACTCTTTGGTCACTTTATGCTTTGAACATTCCTACATACCAAGAAGTCAGATAATGCACCTCTCTCTCAACAGTCCTGACAGCTTCTTCAAGTGGTTTCACATTTTTTTATTGCCACACACGTTTACACACACCAGAAGCTGACTTACTGTACACAAGTCCATGCACGCATAACAACTACCTGAAAAGCAAGTAGTTTCTTTTGTCATTTCATGATTATATTAATTAAAGCATGTTACACTTTCAGTCCAAGAAAAGGAGACCCACTACAGGCGCAGCGTAAGACTAGACTGCATATACGTACAATTTTCTTGTTAGTGACCTTCTAATGAAAAGGGCAAAACATTAAAAGCAAGTCATGAAAACCTGGAGAGACTAACAAAGCCACTGCAGTTAGCTGCAACTTTTCTCTTGCAATCATTTGCATCTTTGCTTCACTGTATGGTGCCAGTTACTTCATATTTACCAACGTATTCATGTGGCAACAGATTTGCTTCAACATCCTTCCGGTCTAACACGGTCACAGCCTTAGTCTCAGGGCCCTCAGAATTTCAATACCTGCTACCTGCGAGTTACACATTTTATAACACAGAATGAATTTCTATTACTCATAGTCAATAAAAATTCACCTCAAATTTCCCTGCCAACTCTCCTTCTACAGATTTACACTCTCCGAGTCAAAGTTTACTGGGAAAGGGAAAACAGAACATTGAAACAATTATCTGGTACTCACTTAATTTAACTGATCCATCCATTCCTAACAGCACGTTGTCACTCTTAATGTCTCTGTGGATGACCTGGTTGGCATGTAGGAACTCAAGCGCTTGCAAGCACTGGATGGGAGAAAAAAAAATATTCAGCATATGGAAACACAATTTGTGTACGTGAACACAAATTCAAAAGCAATGCTTACACCCTCAGCCAGTGCTCAGTGCAAAAATATAACAGGTATTATTTAAAATAACCAGCAGAGGAAGCTCTTGTGCTAAAAAATACTCTCCAGACCTCATGAGGTCAAAAATAATTTAACTATGGAGCTTCTCTGCTATCTTAACAAACCCATAAATTAAACTCCTCATCACCCAGTCATCACCCAAGATGCTCTCAAAAATCCCAGATGTTAATTTTGGTACATCCCACAAATTCTACAGAGGAACCATAAAGGATTAGGTGAGAGCTTTTTAGCTTGAAGTCTCACCAAGACGAATTGGTGAGACTTCATTCTCAACACGCATGCAACTTCTCCTACAGTGAAGGCTGTAAAACATCTTCATTATGAAAGTCACCAATACTGGTTTTGTATAGGTTTTAGATTAAAACCTTTCACACTAAGTTCTTGCGTAAAAACATAATGAAATTTACTTTTGCTGTTTGAGAATAAAAGGCAAAAAAAAAATTGTAGGATTTTTCTCTTGTAATATAAGCAGAACATTTACCATTTGCAACTTGGCATGGATGTAGTCCCCAGTGAGTTTTTTGCGTCTTTGTTTGCTTTAGCAAAGTGGCACTGATTTGCAGAATGAAGTATATCTAACACACTGGGCAGCAGAGTTTTAATGAAGTACAATAGTTCAATATTAGACTTTTTCCTCAGAAAAGTTAATTACTGTTACAGTAAATAGTTACTTTTGGTTCTCTGCTTCCAGCTCCAATTTCTCAGGAAACTGTTACATGTCCATACACGTTAATGTACCGGTTTGCTTTCCATCCCTTCCCTTTCGGTGACTCAAAAGCAGATGTCATGTTGATGTAGTCAAATGGGGTTTTTAAAAGCCTAAGTTTCTCCTGCACAGCAGATAATACAATTACTTCTCCTTCTCCCATAATAAATCAAGCTTGAGCTGGATGCCAGCACTCTGACTCAGGGCAGAAACCACTGTGACATCAGCTATTTTTAGCTCTTCCATTTGAAATCTTACTGCAATCTTAGAATTATTCCAACTACAATCTTCAAAAACAGTTCTGAGAAATCCATAAAGAAAGCTTAACTGTCACAGAACTATAGATTTCACACACTATGAGAACTACTAAAATGAGAAAGGAATAGTCTGCATCTTTATTTTAGTACATGTTTCTTAAAGTATTCCTGTTTCATCAGATCCACTTTCACACTCTAAGCAAACAGACTTCCCCTTCTTCCTTCTGGAAAACACACCGAAGCTTTCAGGCTTTTTTCTTTTTCATTTTTTTAAATACGTTCACATCTCTACTTTCTACGTTACCTATATATGAATACTCAGTTTTCTTTTTAGTGCCTTTGAATATTCTTCCTTAGTCCAAGTTAAAAAAGACATTCTTTCCAGCTGCTAAACTCCTTCATTGCTCTTCCTTGAACTTCAGTCCACATTACTAATATCTTTCTGTTAACATTGTCAGCAGGACTAGGCAATCCAGGTACCAAAACCAAAATCTTTATTTGCTCCATCGCCTAACATTCCCGAACACCGAGCTCAAAAACTGCCATAGCTCTTCTATGTTACAACTTGCAAACACCCAATTTACTGAGTTAAACTAATTTTGTTATTTTCTGTAATTTTAATATTGATTTCTGCTCTCAGTATCATTCATTCTTCTTGACTCAATGGCTCCAACGGCAATTGTTGCAATTAGTCCTAACCTAAGTGTACCATAAAACCTAGGGGAATAAAGTGCACCTTCATTCCTCTACCCATCAACTATAATACTCACCTCTCTGCAAACAGCAGCAATTTGTGCTTCATCCATACACGTTTCTGTGACCACATCTGTTAGTGAGCCTCCAGCTAGATACTCCATCACCACAAACAATTCATCTCCTACGAGGTAACTGCGAACAGAAAATGAAAAGCATGCCCGTTTGCCATCAAGAGATCGAAAACTGAAAAATGACTGATAAGAGCTGGTCATTTAAATGATTCATAAGCACTTCAAGACAAACAGTAAAGAAAGTTAATCTCTGGAAGGTAGCCTGAAATGTAAATGCTGACAATAAAAGCTGCGTGCTTCTTACTACCTAAACGGGCAGGATAACACCCTACATTGCTCCAGCTGTGCTCTTGTCCACCAGTGATCCCCAACTACATGTAGCACTGCATTCATGACAGAAGAAGCCTTCTTACTGAATCAAGACCATTCCCTATAACAGATGACTTTTTTTTTCAGATGACAGTCCAAATACAGTCTCATTTGCTTATAAGACCCTTAGGTACACGAAGTGCAGACCTGTGTAAGTATATCAAGTTATAATCTTCTGAAACCCTTGGGGATGAAGGAATCTGCCAGCTGTCTGCATTTACCTGTCCAGGAAGTTGACTATGTTGGGGTTCTTTAGCTCCTTCATTACCAAGATCTCATTAATAATCAACTCCTTCTTGGGCTGTTTCTGCAGGTTTATCTGTTTAATAGCAACCTGAATAAGACAAAATAAAACAGCAACCACTCAAACCTGAGTAGGAAAACCTTTCAGTCACTCTTAATACTGTGAAAAGTTAGAAGAAATTCTGTAACAGGATTAAAGGAGTTTAGCAGAGCTTGCAGCTGGCAAGTTACTTATTTGTTAGCATACAACTTAAAAGAATGCAACTTGATGAGCATACAGTTTGCACCCATAGCCAACATCATCCTCTTGCAGATGAAAAGATACACAAACAATAACAAAGGCCAGAACAGACAGCAAAGGAAACATTCAGGAGATAAAAAGATACTCACCCAATTTCATATCAACAGGCCTAAAGCAGAACAGAATCATGTAGCAACTAAGAGAGACAGTATAAGCCTTCCAATGCAAGGCAAGGCAGTTTGTTTTCCTATATTCTGACTGAATTAGTGTTTGGGTATAAGGAATGCTGGGAGGCAGAAGGAATTCCTCTCAAAGCAACTAAGCCAATGAACTATCCCAGAGAGAGAAAGGAAGATAAAGACCTATCTTGTCCAGAAAATAAGTTAACCAGGAGAAGTATTCCAGACTTCAAAACGGAGAAGAATTGTCCCAGTTATGTCAGCTACAACACTTTGAGGAGGTAGTTTGGGGTTTTACAAGACAACATACCCATGAGTGCAAAACCAAACACAAGAACCAATATAAATTTGTAGAAACGATCGTTATCATATTGCCAAGGGCATTAAAAGAAGAGAACTTGTGGCACAAAATCATAAAATAACTAAGATTGGAGGGGACCTCTGGAGGTCATCCGGTCCAATCCCTTGCTTAAAGTATAACCAATATGGAGCAGGTTGCTGAGGGTCTTGTGCGACTGAGTTTTGAATGGAGATCTCAGTGAGCAGATATTCCACAACCTCTCCGGGCTCTTGTCCCATGTTTGATCATCCTGCAAAAAATTTCTAATATCTAACCAGAATTTCCTTTTTGGCAATTTTTGTCTGTTACCTCTTGTCCTGTCATTGTGTAGCTCTAAGAAGAGCCTAGCTCCATATTCTCTATACCTTCCCATTACAGCGTTGAAAACAGCAATAAAATCCTCCTTTGGCCTTCTCTTCTGACCGCTGAACAGACCCAATTCTATCCTCAGATATTAAGCACTGAGGAAGCCAGAGTAATCTGCATCCGTTTAATCCATGAAGACTGCAAGCAATCAACTGTTAGCCCACCTGCCTGACAAGACGCAGAGGAGGTCTAAGAAAGGAACTGGACTACAAAATTTACTTCATGTAAGAGGACTGAAGTACTGCAGTATGTAGAAAGCAAATTAAGAGACAATATATTGAGATGATTGAAAGACTTGCATTTTATCGAGATGTGGTGCTCCACTACAGTACTGCTAAATGTAGTTACTTTGAAAGGGCAATTACTTATCAGTCACCTAAGGAATGGCTACTTGCAGACATTTAAAGGAAAATTAAGGAAATCTGAATTTAAAGACAGGCAAATAATTCCTAAAATTTTAGTCCCAGGAACCAGAGATGACCACTGGATGACAAGCATGCAGAGTACTCCTGATGTCATCAACTTCACCAGGTGGGTTTAGAGACACCAAGAAGTAAAAGCAAAGAGTAGGATGTGGAGAAGGCATTCTAACTACAACAAAGAACCATATGGGACAAGCTGTTTCCATCCAGATAGGCACATCCATCACCTCTACTGAGACAGGAGAAAGGTGTGCAAAGACTAAACAAAGTTCTATTTCTGAAAATGCAAGACACTATTGTCCACAGTTCTTGAAGGATAAACTTCTGGAACACCTCACTCCCTCTGCTTTTCACTGAAAATTTTTAGCTTTCTATTTTTAGCTTTCATCATCTGATTACTACAGAGCAAGGCACACACTGTTACAAGTGACTATGACAAACATTCTTCTGAGAGGTGATAGCAGAGATGGGAGCCACAGAAAGAAATCTGGTCAAATCATTTTGGCCACCTACAGAAGAACATTTATACAGAAAAAGTATTTGCATTGCAATGAGCACAGAAATCTTACCTCCTGCCCCGTTGCCACATCAATAGCTGTGAAAACTGTACCTGAAGCCCTGTGAAGAAAAAGAAAAACGTTACAGCCAGTTGCATCTCTCTGCGTAACAAACATGCAGGCGAACAGACAAATCACAACCACAAAACTGTGTCAGCTTTCGATATTGCAAAAGCTTTATCAAAAAGAAGGCTATTAAAAGTAAGTGGTATCATAGAAATGCCAGTCAGTTCACACAAAACAAACTAATTGCAAATACGCTCTCTTCTGACACTAGCTATGCCTCCTGCATTCAGGATGTCTAAGCCCCCAGAGCTTGTGCTGCTTCCTATGATCAGATAAGCTGGGCAGCCCTTTCTGTAGTAGGTATTACTTTTCATTTTCCCCCAGGGGAAGCCCGCCCACAAACGCACACAGACCTATTTGGAAAGTATACAGTAGGAGTTAGACATATATATATAATCAAAGCTGGAAAAGCTAGAACTTGTGTAGCCTTTTTTCTCAGAAGGATTCAGAGGACCACTAGAAGAATAACTTAGTCAAGGCAGTATTGTTAGCTTAGCACACAGAAAGCCTTCTGACATGCCCTCATGCTATTCAGCAGTCATATTACAAAACGGATGAACGCATCTTACTGGGAGAAGAGAGGACTAGATACACCCAGAGAGAAGTTACAGAGATATGCTTTTGCATTAAAAGACACAATTCAAAATTTCCACCACTGTGTAAAGCCTTCACCGTCTGTTTATCACTGCTTAATATAGCCAGTATTTCTGCCTGCTTCAGTAAGTGGTGGCTATGTGACAGCACCAGATAGAGAACGGTACACCGCTTTTAACACTGGCTCACTGGGAATAGAAGTTGGGGTGAACACTTACCCCTGCCCGATTTTTTCATATCTGGTGTATTTTTTCTTGGGATCTCCTATGCTCACAATAGTGCCTAAAAAAAAAAAAAAAAAAAAAAAACCAAAAAAAGTCAATCCCACTGTCTTCCTTTAGTAGGGTTGGCCTGGACAAGATACCTCCAAGACTGGGTCAGCTCAAGTAGTAAAGGCTGATCATGAACAGCCAAAGCTTCCTGATTCAGTTCCAGTCACAAAGGGCCCAACTTCAGACTATCATTATGCTAGGTCATACTCTTAACGAGACAGATCATGCTATTTCCCCTAATATCTCAATTTAATGATAGTATTCTGTGTAGCAAAACCCAGGTTATGACAAATCCATTATCTTAGCCTAGTCCAGAAGCTAGTCAGTTCTCGACTTAAGCACAGGAATACTAATATGGTGAAAAATTATCTTCAAGGTGATTATGGAACAAGCAACAGCAGAAACTGTTTTGTGTTATTATGGTTGCATTATACACGCAGATCACATTATCATGACTGAACTTCAATCCAAAAAAAACTGTTCTGCATTTTTTTTTACCCAATAGGGATCTGAAGCATATAACTCGGCAAAACTTCTGAATGCAGCGCTCTTGGCTATTTCTGACACAAAACCAATCAGGCACAGTACTCACACAACCCTTACACAAAAATAAGGATGAGGGCAAAAGCTTAATATTCCTCCCCCAGTCCTAAAGCCTTTGTTTATGTGAAATAAAAAACACCTACGTAGTTTTTCCATGATCTCTTCATCCGACATTTTGGTCTTCTTTTTCTGCTTATCACCTGATTTCGTAGCACTGTCAACAGAAGTGTCACTGGCTGGTGCAGGGATGGGGTCAATTACGGACCGTGTATAAATCTGTTAAGAGAGACCATTTATCTGAGCATTTTCTTTGCAATCATTGACCTTCAGTTGAAAACAATCACAGTTCTTCAAAGATCCCTAAGCACCATTTTACATAACAGGTTGGAGGGAGAAATTAGACCTGAGAAACATTAAAGTCCAGTAAGTCAAGACACTGGCAACCTTACTGACCTCTGAAAGAAAGACCCGGGCACCTCCTGAACAGAGTGGATGCTAGGAGATTAACTCTAACTTCCACAGACAGACGTTTTGTGGGTTTTCTACCTGCTTATTCTTTATAACCCATGCTAGTTAACAGAACAGAAATCACTACTTAATAGCGAGATCAACTACTACTAAGATCTAAAGGAGAAAGATTCATGCTTCGCCATGAAAAGAAGCATGAGACTCTCACAAATTTCCCAGTTGCCCCCAATTTAGGGGATTTTCTGAGCTTTATTTAATTTCCTCCTGAGCTGTTCACAGACATATGCAGCTACTCTAGAAATATCAAACTGTAGACCTGTCACATTTTATACATCTGCATATCCAGAGTGGGCAATTATAAAGCAGTATCACTTGACAAATAAACACAATTCACATTCGCACTCCTGGAGCGAGAATAAGTGGGCAACAGAGTGGCAAAATATACACCTACCACAGTCAAAAGAATGAGCTGGAGTAAGTGGGATCCCTAGGACATTATTAACAAGGTATGTAGTTCAGGACAACTACACTAAAACTTAATGAACAACTTCTTAAGCATTTAACTTTTCATGTAATGCTGATGACTTTGTGAGTGAAATAAGCTTTCAAATATTAAATTTGAATTGTTTTGGGTTTAGGTAGTATATTTGGTAAGGCTATCACACTGCAATCAAATAAAATAAAGAAAATCAAATACACTACACTTGTACCACTGTACTGTGCAAAGTTTCAGAAACTAGCTATAGTTTTTTAGGACTAAAAAGGCTCCTCCTCACATGTTGGGTTGAAGGATAAGCGTAACTGGATACCTTCAACACAAGCTGACAAACAAATCAGCATTAACTTCAGGATTTCTGATCCACCTGATATCCAGAAATTAGGCATTTTCTTAGCAAACTCAAATAAAAAACAGAACTTTTCCCTAAAAACTTAAAACAGCTAATTTCACAAATATAACACTTTGCTAGAAAACAGAAGTAGAAGTAGTTCTGCAATACTGAGAAATGCAGGTATGCACTGTAAATTTCACAGCTACTCACCGATTTTGTGTGATCTGGCCGTGGAGCAATAACAGGAGGAGGAGCTTCTTCATCATCTTCATCATCATCTGCCACAGCTGTTGATGGTTCTGAACCTTTGGCATTGGTCTACATTTTTACCAAAGTTAAAAAAAAAATAAAATAAACAAAATTGTCTCCCCCACAGTATTAAGAGACTTGCTTTTTTTTTTCCCCCTCCACATGAAGATAAAAGAATTCTTCCTGATGTCAAAAGAAAAGGATAGGTAGAGTGGTTTAAGTGCCCTATTACATTTTATTACGAGACTCAAATACCATTGCTCCAGTGAAATATGCTCTGTTGACACCCCAATTTATGTTTTTATTCCACAAAAAAATTCTCATTTTGTTTCATACTGCAAGATTCAGTATATAGCAAATACAGAAGACCTGAACTTGTATGCGCCTAAGAAGATACAAAGAATAGTAAACACACTCACCGTTGGTGTTCCTGAAGGGAAACCATCTTTTTCTAAATAGGACAAATAGCAGAATACATAAAATCATCAGAAAAATAAGAAGTGAACTTTACAGAGGAAAGAACACAGATCACTTTGGAGATTTTTTTTCATCTCTCAGAAACCAACTTTCATGGTCACAAATGAGAGAAACCAATACTGCACTGCAAGACCATGCAGAAGGAAGCTGTAAGTTTCTAAAATCCTCCCCTAAGGGTAGGCAAACCCACTCATTTTCCAACTTGCTCTTCACCTCACTTGAGTACCCACACACAGTTTTCCAAATTGAGCACTGCTCGTCACACTTATGTGTTCTGTCTTACTGAGATGTGAAATCAGGATCAAATGGGTATTTCTCTTCCCTTAGTGGTATCTTGAATCAAGGATGAGAAAATTATAAAGCCTTATTACTAAGCTATTTTCAGAAATAATTTGGAAGAAAACTAGGTAAAACTGCATCTGTTTGTAGGACAGTCATTTTTTCAGCCCCTCCCAGCCCCCCGATCTAGGAGCCACAACTTATTTTGCATCTTTGATGTCACCACATAGTGACATCAAGTTCACAGATAGCTGTTTCAGCCACAGACAGGAGGAGCAAGGTCTCCAGCACAAAACCAATTAATCACAGTCTCAGAGCCCCAGCTTCATAAACACAGCCTGTTAAAGTTAATTTTGGCTGCTATTTTGAATTATGCAGTTCCATTTCTTCCCCTCTCCACTTAAAACAGGAAATTAACTGGACAACGCCAGTTTCCAGTAAGTTTTAAATCCATCTTCAAATATTTGTTCCTCATTGAAAAGTAGCTTGTTCTTTCAGCATTTTAATCTGATTTATTATTCTGAAAGAGAGGAAGACTGTGTTCCAAATACCCAACTCCTCTTCAATATGTCTTGCACACACTTGGATCTTACCTGGAGCAGAAAAACTCAGATACTTCTGTTTTGCTGTGTCTTTGGAGTCGTAGAATTTCAGCACATCTAGTACCGCCTGGGGGTTTTTCTTCTGTTCTAGCTTCGTGATATTTGAGGTCTGAAGCAACCGAGCCCATTGCTCTGGCATTCCCTGAAAAAATAGGCTACTTTAAGCATTCTTCTAGTATTTTGAAGATTTTTTAAAAGCAGGACAAATTTCTTACCTCTATAAAAAGCATAACACGCACAGCCTTAAACACATGAACAAGTAGGATGGGGTTTTAATGGGGAGCCGTACGTCCATTGGTGACACCACACAAATCACTGTGCCAAGATGACACCGTCTCTTTCAGGTGTATTAAGCCAGATGTGAGGAATGGGAATACAGAAGCACTCAACAGAACCAGTGTTACCCACTAATGAAAGTAAACTGAAGAGGGTTTCTCAGGGAACGCTCTCCCAGGTGACACAAAGCATCAGATCTGACATTTACACTGCAGAAGTACTAACACGTCACAGTCTCATTACTCTGAATGCTGTACAAATACACAGTAAAATTATTTCTTTGATAAAAATGAAGACTAACTAGCACTTTATTCTAAAACATTGCAAGAGCTTCACTACAGCACTGACCCACGGCTGTTTTCTGAGCAACTCCAAGGCAGGTATACTTACAGTGAACTCTCCAGTAACCGCATCAAAGCCAACATGGATGGTATGCTCAAAATCTGACGGTGGGGAGATTTCTGGCCTTTCCTTTTCCTTCTTCTTGCTTCCTGAAAAAGACATTCAAAGACCTACTGAGCAAAGATTTTAAAGTCCTATTGTGTCCATTTAATATAATCAATCAATAAACAGTTAGGATGAATGTAACCATTATTCTGTTTACTGGATGGAGGTGTTCACATATGCAGCACAGTGATTTGATATTTTCAAGTTGGTATAGACTTCACTTAAGAATCAACAACTTGTTCCATTCAAATAATATAAATCAATACTATGGTAGCAAGCAAATAAGTGATTGAGAGCACCAGAGTGCAAGGAGCTCTGTTGAGCATATGAAATCTAAACATATGAAATGTTTACAATGCGAAAAAGGACATTTTAATATGGATTAAGAACAACACCGAAGACAACTTCAGTTCAGCCTCAAGTTCACCCTAAAGACAGTTAAAACTCAGTTGCCTCACTGCTTCAATTCAAGGTAATTAATGCAAACTAGGACTTCCTGTGATGAAGATAAGAGTTTATAGCCTCAGAGCAATTACCTAATTTAAATTAAAAGGGGGGGGGAGGAAAAACACCCAAGCATAATAAGTACCAGAAGCAGGAACAGATAATGAGAAGGGCCATGTGCACAATCCAACCTAGATCCAATTAAATTTATAAGACGTTTTATAATGCCTGGGGCTTGGGGTTTTTGGTTTTTTATTTTTTCTGACAAAGAGAAAATAAATAAAAATGGAAGACAATTTGTAGTTAACTCTAAATATAAAATACATCATTCTGTTCCCTTTACTCAGAAAAGGTTTGGAGTTAATTTGGAAAGTTTCAGGAACCTGTTTTCTTGTTCTTGCAAAGAAGCCCGAGCCCTCCTTTCTTTCCCTGCTAGAGCAGAGGAGCGTACTTGCTGTTTGCTCTCCAGGTAGAAATGTGATGCTCAAGGCCTCATCTCACGGTCCTCTGCTGAAAGGCAGTGAGCTGTAGAGCGTGTCTAACCTGACACCAAGAAAACTGCATGTGTAATCCTGGGAACGCCTGTGGGCTCACAGAGCGTATAGCTGAATCAGCTGCATTTATTACAGTGTGCATGAAGCCAGCAAGAATGCCATAGTGCTCATAACCACAAAGGAAAGCAGCACACCATTTTGCAACCTGACTTGATTACCACTTTATGTTTGTATGTAAAAAAAAAAAAAAAAAAAAGTTTTTTTGCTTTGTTTTTAAATTCACCTTAAAAATAAAAGTCATGTAGTTTCAGTATGGGAAAAGAGCAGCTAAAACAGCACCCTCTTTGTTACTATATGGTAAGAAGTTACTAAACACAGGGCAAGCATAGATCACGCTGCTTAGAGCCAGAGAATCCGTCTGAAATCCCCTCACACTGGCGGGAGAGGAAGGACGGGGAGCCGAGGACAATACTTACAAACGAAAAGCCATGTGGGCTGCCTCCAGCTGAACAATGCAGTGGAAAGACACAGCTATTATAAACAGGATATCTTTAATATGGCTGCACAGGTCAGAGCCAAAAAGCAAACATACTGTCAAATGTTCTCATTAACATCATTCAGTTGCAGGACCAGGAGAAACTTGCTTATGGGAAAACTTTTAAGGAAAGTACTGTTTCTTCCCAATCTCTTGCAGTTGTTTATGTGAAAGCAAGGCGGGGGGCGACAGGGGGTGTGTGGAAAAGTTATATTCTTCAGGAAGGTTCCTGCTTGGGAGCACTTGACATCTAGGGAACAGAAGCTGATGCTCCAACCCTCCAGCAAATAAACCCACTCCTTCCAAAAATACACACATCATATTAGTTAGCTAGGCAAGGAGACTGAAAATCACTCCTCTGCCCACAGGAACAGCAGATCAGAGCAGCACTTCAAACAAACGCAAGCAGCGAGCTTCAGTCAAGAGGCAAGTCCCGTGAGTCATGTGTTGGCAGGATGTATTCGAGGCTCTGCGAACAAGGCCACTGTGAGGCCACGCTGCTTTTCAACCTCTGATTGTTTGCAACACAGTTCTGTATTTAAATGGGAATCCCTTTAAGAAAGGGCAACGCTTGTTTCAAACCGTGAGTGAATCTAAGATGTGGTCCCTTGGCCCTGCAGAGACAGCAGCATACAGCCCCCCCCTTCCCGGGAGGGGGAAGACGCAGATCCTTCAGAAGGATTCAGAGAATTGGAGAATTGCTCTGTCTGATTAAGAAGGTGCCTCAAATAGCTGGGCTCTTCTCTTCCCCAAATGAAGCCATAGGCACTCAGCAAGACATCACCCAAGGTACTTCACATACCCTCCTGCATCGCAACCCAGCCTCGAGCATCCCTCGCTCCCCACCAGCGTGCGAGCCTTCGCTGTGTTCCAGCCAACCTCCATACACAAAGCAAGAAACACAGATGTTTCTCAACAGCCTGGTCGTAGTAGGTGGATGACTCCAGCTGGTATGCTTTGAGTTATGAACCGCAGCCGAAACCACACTGAAATCTGCCCTGAGCCAGCGGCCTTGAGTACGTCACATGCATGATCCCAGGTCCTGGGCGATGCCCCACAGCACCTCCTTTAATAAGTTCTGCTCAAAGACAAACATTTCTTGTTTTAGGGGACTATTTTAAAGCTTTCCAAAAACACATGCAGGTTCATTTGACTTCAGAAGTCTAGCCAAGGAAATTCATGGCAATTAAGTACTCTAGTAAAAAGATTACTATCACTTCATTTATCCTAAACAATGGAATGAGGGGAAAAAATACTCCATGACTAGGTCATTAAATAATCCCTTCAAACTCTTGCCATTATTTCAGTGCAGAACTAGCTCAGACTTGGGGCAGAAACTCTGCCTTTGCTAAACCTCACCATCTGCAGTGAGTCCCCCAAAGCACAACACCTCCCCAGCGCCATCTCCTAAGCTAGAGAAACCTCCCAAGAGAGGAGCCGGGGAGGGGGGCAGAGCTGTGGTCACAGATATGATGAAGCTGGCCAGGAGGGACCTTGCAAAATCCAACACAGATCTGCAGAACAAAGCCAAACAACATTATCCAGTAACAAGTCTATTCACAGCAGCCTTGTACATCTCCTGGTAAGGCAGCCCTTCATTTTCTGAAAAGGAGAATTTACCATTTTTGTAGTAATTTATTAACTTTGGCACTGGCTGGGGAAATTTTTCCCATGAAAAAACTTCTACCCCAGGTTGACAGATTATTTTGCATATAGTCCCAATAAACTTTTAAAATCCAAGCAGGAAGTTAATATTTCTGTAAACCTTCCCAGCAGCAGAATTAAAAAAAAATATATATATTTAAATGGGCATTTCTGGTGAGGGTGCGCCTCAGCCATGCTAATGAATAAAACAACTAACATCTGACTATTGTTTTACTGCCAGAAAGTCACTGTGTCCATTTATATCCTGCTTACATTTGACAGCCAGTTTTGCAGTCTTGAGGGCCAAAAACATTTCTTTGGATGTTTACATTATCCTTGCTGCAGGTCAACCAATCGACAAGTTTTTTCCAAATTAAAAAAAAGACAACTTTCAAATAGTTTCTTTGAGCTAGATAATTCAATTACCATTTTTCCTAACCACATTATCTTGCCATGCAGTAAAACCTGCTTTTTTTCAGGACATTACTTCAAATACTTTTTGACATCTAGAAAAGATAAACTGACACCATTTTCTCTAAAATATACTTTTCTCAGCAGAAATTATTTCTTCCATTTTTAGTTTGCATCACTAAATATCAGTAAGTATACAGACACATGCTAAAGAAGTATGCAGATTCATTTCCATAAATTTGGTACACGTCAGAATTTACAGAGTGGCCTGAATAAGCTTAAGTAATGGGACTCCAAAAGAATTTCAGAGGAGCCAATACATCTTTAGACAAGTCTTCAACCACCTCCCCAGCCATTTCAGCAATGAACAAACCAACCGTCAAGATGGAAAGAGGAAACGTCCAAGAAGAAGTAAAGGCGCTATAAAACACAAAGCTCTCCAGCTGCGCTGCACCCACTTGCATTCATAACTCATTTCATAACACAAGCAAGTCTTACACAGTATTACTAATTCAGAGCAAGGAAAATCTTCCTTCATGTGGGGTTTACGATATACTTCATCATATCCCTGTCTGTAAAAAACAGCCACAAATGCTCTCATGAACGATAAATGCAACAGCATAATGACAAGTGCCATCCCAGCTCCTAAACCATTCTCCTAGTCTGAAGATGAACAGATTTCATCCTTCCACCAGATTTTCTTGCAGCACTCACCATGACAATTTCTAGGCATTTCCTCACATGACCAACGATATAATGGTAAAACATCAATTTCTGCAGTATTGAAGGGCTAAGCTAGAACCTGCTCCAGACCCGTGGCACTACACCTAGCTGACAGCATCCAGATTCACTACCTTCACCAACCTCAGAGGCCTGGAGTCTCTCTCTTGGGGTGCTGCCACGAACCTGTAGTAGCTTCTCACGTTCTCATTACCTCTTTAAGGCTCTTACCCATGCCAGAAGAAAAGACCACCACTGCTATTGCTACAATCCAGCCATGGACAGTTATTTCACAATAAATGACCTTGTGAAATAACTGTTCTGCTTCCAAAAGCTACACCAGCCAAATCTTTCCATCCTCCGAAAAGGAAAACACGCCCACCGTTCAGAGCAAAAACTCTGCCAGATCATGGAAAGCCAGATCTTCCGAATACAGGGAAGCCTGCCTCTAGCGTTTGTCTCCAGGGTGAGGCATGGCTGCAGAGGGACTGCTCACACAGCTGAGCAAGAGTAAATATCAGCCCTGGGGAAAATACTTAGCCAAGCGAATAAATAACTGGAGGAGCAAAATCTCTTGAAACAGTCAAACGTGTGTCGGCATGACTGAACCAGTCCTGCCCAGCACATCAGCAATGAGGCGCAGGAAGCCAAGAGCAGAACTAGAAGACATTAAGAGCAGCAAGGTATTCCCCTTGTGCATCTTAATATTAATCACAAAAATGCTAACTGGTAGAGATTAATAAAATGCATAGCAGTTTCAGGTCAGGCTTATAAGTCCCTGCGCAGTTTTACCATACCAGATGTTAGAAGATATTTCTATCTATGCACTATTTTGTTGTACATGGATACAGACATCCTGGAGAACCAGGATCAGGGCTCCAGTGCTGTACATACATTCATCATACAGAAAAGAGGACAGAAACAAAGCACAAATACATTTCATTGTTTCTAGTTTCATTACAGCAATTTTTTTCTCAGAAATAAGCCTTGTTTACAGCAATCCAGATTTTTCCCCCTCTAGTAATTAATCCTAACAGTGTAGTTACACAGACAGAAGGACTTAATTTTTCTCAATTCTCCTTCATGCTCGCTGCACCCTTCCCACTATTTCTTTACTACCCTTTTTTCTCCTGAAGGTACCACATAAATGGTCATTAACATGAAGTACCTTCCAAAACAGCTGGATGCTCAGTTTAAACTAGAAATCTGCATTTAGCGTAGCAAAATGGTAAGAAATATGATACCCAGGAATCACAAACATATTATTAGGGTTGTTTGGAAATGCATTACTTTAAACTGGGCAGCAAACACGAGAAGCAATATGTGGTGGTTTTCCTCAGTGAGCTATTTAATTTTTCTTACCTAGCATTTCATCTTCAAACATCTCAGTGCAAACAGAAAGAACATCTCAGCTCATTGAACACACATACCCTACTTTCAACATTTCCTCCAATCCCCTACACTTGGACAGGCTGGACTCAAATGTATAAAATACTACCAAAACTTACAAGAAGAGTAAAGGAATAAAAGTAGTAACCTTGGAAAATAGAGGCATCTTACCTTTTTCAGTGCTAGAGAATATGGAGATGATTTTATTCCTAGGTTTTCTCTCTTCTGGTACAGAGGGCAGGGGTTTCAAGCTGTGGTTGGCAGACGACTGGTCTTTGCCTCCTGAACTGAAGATAGTACTGCTCATCCGGACAGGAGGAGCTGGTGGCTTGTCTTCCAGTTCTCCGTTGTCAGACATGGTTCTCAATAGCTAGTGAAAGCACTGAAATAGAAATACTACTTTTAACATAGGAAGCGAGCATAGAATACATAAATGTAGTATTTCTTCTGTTGGACAACAGGGAAAGGAACTCGGCAAGCACTGCACTGGCAGACACTGATGTCTCCACCAAAGAAAAAGGATCCCTTCCTCACTCCTGCTTCTGGGCCACCCGTTCATTTGTGCCAGCAACAGCATTTGTGGGATGGAGTGACAAAGTTTTCCAGTGATAAAACTAACCCAGTCAAAAAGAACAGTCAGTTATAATGTGCACCATTTCCCAAATCTGGTTCACTATCTGTTCACACAAAGGTTGCATATGCGAAAAGGACAGTACACGTAAGGGCATAAGTACAACTTCTTTTAGGGGTAGCTCCAGCCCAAAGAGCTTCATGCTCTAGAGTCAAACACCTTTAAAAGCCTTAGATGCTTTCCTTCTTGCCATTTATCGGACAAGATCTTGGGCAGAAAAAGAATAGCTTATGTTTATAAGTCATAATTCAACACACTGTCCACATTAAGTCATATTAAGAATAGCTCTACCCAAATTATGCAGCCTACATTAAAGAGCATGGGACTAAGATCCACTGGATCCACTTCTGAATGAGGACTTGCATTGCTTTAGCACTTTGTGCCACACTTTCTCCATTTGTAAAAAGAATATATACCATCACCACAATCCTCTTCGAGTCCTTAACGAAAACATGAGCGAGATCATGAACAAATAGCTAAAGCTAAAAACACAGCACAATAAAGCATCTACATGACACATTCAAGAAAATCTGCACTGGCCTTTGCTCCCTCCCCATGATATCCTGGAGATTTTTCTCTGATCACCAAGAAACAGGCAGCCTCTCTGCTACAGAGTAAATAGCACAAAGAAAGATTTACAGAAATTACCTCACAATGACAGCTGAATAACAAATATGCCCCTCATTCCCCCATACGCTTAAATCATGAGCTACCCCTTTGGAACAGGAGCCAACACACCTCCTCTGCGTTGACCTCTTCTCCTCCTCCTCCTCCTCCTCTCACATTTGAGAAATGAATGGCCTACTGGTCTCTACCAGCTGCCCATCATAGTCCCAAAGCATGACTCCATCCCAGCCACAACACTGGAGCAATCATTATCAGTGTCATTCCAAAAAGTCAGGATAAGACAGCGCAATCCACTCTTAATTATCACACACTTTCCAAAGTATAAATATCATGCTATACAATGTCTCGGCACAACACATGCATCTTGCACAACATGGTCTTAGCAGAAGAACTAAAAACGGGTGGACTGCCATTCCCTATCATTGCACTGGGTGAATACTGCCAGATCCCAATGAAGAAAAACAAAGCAGGCTAGCAGCCGAATTCATGCAGCACAACAGCATACTGTTTTATGTTGTGAAGCTCAAGAGATATTAAAATGAATTATCACCATAAATGCCCATGAAAGCATATAATTTCTGTATAAATACCTTCAGGGGCACAAGCAGCACAAAGCAAAGTTCTGGCACTGCAAGTAAAAACTGGACATGTGCTGGTTGCCCAATTTCCTTAGAGACTGATGGCGAACAGCGGTCAAAGCTGTGCAACACCCACCTATACAAACCTGCCTTCAAGCCCTTTGCTTGATGATGGAATGATAAATAGCCCTGCAACACTTGAACATGTCTGCAGGGATACAGTTGTGAATCAGAGTGCGATTCCCATCCTCCAACAGTCTTCCAAATTCACTTACTGATTGCTCTTTCAGATGTTGCATGTTATCTGCAAGATCTTCTATATTTTCCAGTACCTATACTGCAATATGGGGAAAAAATTAAAAACCCTGCAGACTAACAGCAGGTCTGAGCAGCCTACCCACAGGGATTTTAATTCCAAACACTTCCCTAACAATACATATTGCTTGCACAAAATGCATGCCACCAGTTTGAGACGTACAAATTTCTGGTCTGAACTACCAAAACAGATATAGGGCATTCAAGAGTCCTACTGAAGTTGGGCTTGGAATGATGGCAGTACAGGGAACCATAAACCATTTCCCTTATGCTAATCAAATCTCAGAAAAGAGTAGGATATTGGGTCCTTAGCTATCCACATGGGAATAGATATTTGAAAGAAAGCACTCTTCCTTTTCAATAAGGAAATACAATCAGACGGCAAAATAAATCATAGTAGGTAAAGAAGTGTATCACGTAACTTTAACACCAAAATGATATATTATGTGAAGAAAGCAATGTCACGAGTAGCCTTTTGTATTTTTCTAAAGCAAACCTATTATTTCCTCCATCTGTGCAGTTCTTTGAGCTGCCTGATATTAGCAAGAGCAGGATGTAAGGATAAACAGCTAACCTGCATCTGAAACTGGACAAGAACAGACTTGGCCCTCCAAGCCCATACTAATTCCCCGCATGCTCCCTTGGAGAGCTCAGTCACTGGATTAACAATGCTATAACATGGTATTCAGGTTGCAAATTTAAAAAAAAAAAACTTTTACTGCACTTTTGTTTACATATTTTTAAATAAATTTTTCACTATAGTACAAATTCTCAATTTTCAGTGACACAAGCAGTGCAAGTCAGCTCATCCCATACTCAGTATTAGAGCTTCTTGATCTGAAACAAATTATTCCTTAGCGCCTTGAGTGCTCAAGAGAAGAAAATGTTAAGCAACAAGTTGGAAGCAACCATATGGAAATCCAAAACTCATCTCTTCCATAAGAAAATAAGGCGCTTCAAGAAACTGGCGTAACAGCGTCTGTGCAGAACCCTCAGAGCTGCAGTCCTGATTAGTGTTTCATGTTCAAAGTGTTCAGAAACATCCTTGACCTTGCTGAAGTAGAGCCCAGGAGCTCTACAGGAGGAAGACAAGCTGCGGAGCTGGCAGAGCATACTGGAGTGACAGAAAGAGCTCGGGCATCGGCTTCCCACCTGAGGGACTGGCTCCGTCATTTGCAGTTAAACAAAATCCTTCAAGCTCATTAAATCTGTGGTTTAGTAAAACCTCAGCTTTTAGGAAAAACTTAAGAGATGTGATTTATTTAATAACACACAGTAATATAATTTCTGGGCGGCTGTTTCAAAGACCGTTGTTAAAATAAACTGCAAGATCCAAAACTATTTTGCACAAAGGACCATTTCAATGCACACCAGCTTTGAATTCATAGTTTAAAGAAATTACAACAGCTCCACTCACAACAGATGGCTTCAGGAAACAGAAGTCTGATCCGTCAGTCATCATCGGAAGTTAAAAATCAATCGTTTTGTTCAGGTTCAAATCCAAACAGCTAGTCTCTTTCTGACAGCTGAGTGCAGAAGAAAAGAGCAGTTCCCCTCTCCTTTACCCTTACCCTGTCTTCATTATGCAGGGCAAGTTTCCACAGCATCAGGAAGTACTTTTGAAATTGCTGCGGAGGTTTGGCATTATGGGCAATGACTGGAGGAGGGATTAAAAAAAAAAAAAAAAAGAAAAAAAAAGAGGAGTGCAAACACACATTGAAGCTCCTTTTCTGCTCTCTCACTCCCCCCAAGAGGAAAAGGAGCCTGTTCATTTCACAGCAGCTAGGCGTAATCCCTCTTGCACCATCACCCACGTGGCTGCCCTGCTGAATCACGGCTTGTGCAGGGAATTGCAAGGACCAGGGGAATTTTCATTTTTCCCAGTGCCTGCCAGGAGTCTGTATACTGGCAAAGGGGATGTCAGGTTCATATTTCTCTGACAGAATCAGACAACACAGTTAATGGTGGGGTTTTTTTTAGCTTGGTTGAAAGACATTTAGTAAAATGGTTAACCTAAGTTTGAGCAACCTCATCAAAGATCTGGAAGAAAGATGACAGAAGAAGCAAAGGTAATATATGGAAGAGGACATAATCAGGGGATTTCATCTTTGCCAGTGAAGTTAATCCCAGTAATAATAATGTATTCAAGCACATCGGCAAATCCCCCATAATCACTAGTCGCACTACATTCAATTACAAGAACTAGAAAGCAATGGAATGAACCACAGAGACAAGCTGTGAAGCTGCAAACAATACTTAACTACAGACTTCAGACAGATTCATCCCCACCACAGGACAGTGCTGCAACCCACTACACTCACCAAAAAAAGACACAAAAAGAGCTAAAAGCTTTTTTCCCTAGCAGTTCTGCTGCTTAGTCCACAAAACATACTCACAGGTAGCAGCGCTGGTGACAAGGCTCCGATTCTCAGTCCTCATCTCCAGTATATTACACTACTCCCAACAGCTGTCCCCTCCTTTTGACAAAGGTTTCTTGCCCTGCACTGGGGCAGCAAAAATGGCAGTACTCTTTTCATCCACGGCAGCCTTAGACACCATCGTAACGTGAACTGCAGCAGCTGAAGAGCAAATGCGTTCTCTGCTCTGCTGCAGAGCCAGCAGCAAGCAGCCAGCCAGGGTTTGTGCTGTCCTAAATCACTCACCACCAACAGTGGGAGACACGAAGCCAGGTTCCTCAGAAGCGCAAGTCGTCTTTTTCCAGCTTTGCCTGGTGAAGCTGAGGCAAGACAAGCACAAGGAAGCTCCCTGTGTAGCTTAACCCACCCTCTTCCTCCCAGCCCCTGAAGAGACCTGCAGCGACCAATTTGCACGTGCATTCAGAGTTTCATTTTTACAACGATGTTCCAGGAGTCAGTTCTGCTGCTCACTAGCTTTCTTCCTTTTGGGGAAGAAAAGGGCCCAATAACCTACGGCATACCCAGGTCACAGAAGAGAGACGGCAGTTCCTGTCGCTGCCACTGGTGGGAAAACACCCAGAAACATAACCCTGACAGTGAGTAAAAGCTGGAAAGTAAAGTGAGAATTGGGCAGCGTTTTCAGAAAGCTGATGAACACACACTGCTGCAGCACATTAGTCTGAATGCTCTGGCTTTGACTTGTTTTTTTGTTGTTTTGTTTTTTTTTTTCCCCTCAATTCCCCCTTGTGTGAGCATAAAGCGGGGCTGCTTCCTGAAGAACTTCCTAAGT